AATCGGCCATCTGTGCGTATATTGCCGTGTTAAAATGCGATATATCATTAATACACTTACTCGCGTGAGAAGGGTAGAAAAAGGAAAGGAAAAACAAGTAGAAATAGAGTCGCGTGTTCAGGTGCCTTGCATAATTGTTCTCTAATATTAGGTAATCAAATCAGTCGGTGATGGTGTAAACAAGTGATGTAATCATCGAGATACGTCGGTCGGAAAACAGACCGACCACGAAATCGTACCGACGCCGTACCGCGAAGTACGGAACGAAATTTGGACTTTTTTTTTATTCCTCTACAGCAACCTTCGCGATATCGGAAACCGCTCGACTCGGTCTTACAGCCTTCGAGAGTATCGCTCGCGTTCAAGTTTGCCGTTTTGTAAGTACACTCTGAGCTTCTCTGCTTGCTCGTCTCGTTCGCATTAACTCACGCTCTTGCCGGCCTGCTCCATTTTTGAATACTTCACGTCTTTGTCTCGTCAAGAGGCTGAGTCTAGCTGAAACTGAGATGAGCTCTTGATATTGAGTAATTGTTAACGTCATTGTTCCAAATTTAGTTCCTCTTAAGATACATACAATCAGTAAAGTAGATGTGTCTGTTATGTGTGATGTCACCACGATCGACATTATATCGATACTCAGAAATCAGGGAATTCCTTTTCTGGTGATATTGTTATCTTGTGTTTTTACGTTAGATAAATTAAATTGGAACACAAAAGTATATTATATTTCTATATTTAGATATAGAAAAATTGTGTTGTTTTATTTTGTATTTCACGTTTGCCACTGATAGGAATAAAGCTAAGTTGCTCGTGCGAGGGCGGACCTTCATTACATTCACGATTCACCAGCAGAAAAGTTTTCGCAGTATAGCCAATAAAATGTCACGCTGAGCGCTGCTTCGTGATTCTACTTAATGACTCGATTGCGGTAGTTTTCCGAAATAGACGTAGAAGCGCTCTTAATTGTATCTGAAGAGCACAATTGTATCCAGAGAATCGCGAAATTATCCGGAACTTTATCCGCCTAGGAAGTTTTCGTACTCCGTAACTGTACTTTTGTGACCAAGCCCCCCCGTGAACCTTCTTGGCATCGCTTCAAGTTCCGTGATCACTGTGTATTATTATCGGAAGTATTGTTAGGCAGGTTTAAGAGGGTACCGAGAGCATTGTCATTGAACACATACAGCGAGTGTCATTCTCTCAAGAGAGACTATCGGACTTTGTCTTTTTCTTCTCTCTCTACCACCTTCTCCCCTCTCTCTCTCTTTCTCTTTCTATTTAATTTAGGTATAGTTTTAAAGTGAAGTCCTTTGCTGAAGTATTTAAAAGTCAAGTGTGTGTAAGAGACTTCATGTGATGTCATACGCGAGCGACGCATACAACTTTAGCGGATATTGTATAAATCGCAATATCGAAATCTAGCTCTTCGACCAACGCCGCGTCTGTAACGCATACGTTAAATGCCGCCATTTACACTAATTGCGTATCAATGTCAAAATGATAAAAATATCCGGTTACGGTTATATTGGGCCAACAAAGAATTACGCAAAAATTCTGTATGACATAGCCCATTTTTAACGTTTTTAATCCACGAGCATATTACCGCGATGCTAACTTTAATAATAAATTTCTTGTTAAGTTCAGGGCTAATTTTTCCTTCGGGACAAAGTAACGAGAAAATTCGTGGCCTTAAGTCTACCTGAATGTAGGAAGTTTCATCGTAATTGTATGCTAAGGATCCACAGGATGTATTCGAGGCTATAGAGATAGATGTAACGGTTTCCCAGTAACGCTTTTGTACTTCTATATTTAGTACCGTGAACGTTATGTGTGTGATTGTACGTACATACGTTAGTACATCCGCTAACTGGCGTTTAAACTTTAAACGGGTTATCCGACTGGTTGGATAAAGATTTGAAAGACATTCAGCATGGCTTAAATATGTTTACGATATCTATATTAGAAAGTTCCGAGTTAACCTTTTACTACACATACACATGGTAAAATTGCACATGACATTAATTAATGCGAACATGCAATATTTTTAACAGAATTTATTTCCATTATTCATATTCATTTAATTATACTATTAAAAGACGCACTGCTAATTCTTGTAGCGTTAATAATAATGTAAAACATGTTACATTTTAAAAACGTTTGAGAAATTTTGTTACGATCGATTTTTTTATAAAAATCGTCGCGGCAAAAACGGTCGCATTCTCCAGATAGGTATTTGAAGTATAGATTATTCAAGAATTCGGGTATCGAAAAAGCCGTCACATCGACATTGCTCAGACACTAGTGAATTATTACGACGTATTCTCATTAATAAAGTAACGTTTTATTACAAACGCCGCACTTGATTTTGACGCTTTGCTTGAAATCTAAATTTTCATGGAGAAAATTTTGATCACCGAATAAAATCATGATGTGATATTATTAAATGAATGTTTTCGTTCTAACTCCAGAGTATATTCCAGAGTATTACTCTGGAAAGTTGTTCTATTTATACAAAAATTTATCGGGTTTGTTTTAGCTTAATAATGCTTATATATATTTCAAACATCAAATAATTATCAAGTGTGACATTTTTAGTCATGTGGCATTGTCTATTGCCGATGTATCGGTCAGATAAAAACGAAGTGGAGCGAAGGCAGCAGAGGGTCAAGTGTCTGGTTCAACCGCTTTATATCACGGTTATTGATTATCCGAGATATTTCTCGTTTAAGAATGCGCCGAAGGGGGAAGAGGGGAGAAAGAAGGAGGGCACAAGTTGCGGGAGAACGATCGAAACTTTGGTGCCGATCGAACTTTCGTATTATACGATCTGGAAACGGATCAAGCCCGTCTGATTCCGGCAGGCAACACAGTTCAAGCGAAATTCTCGTTGACTACGAGAGCGCACGCGAGATAAATCTGTCATTCACACAACGGGAGTATGCAAAATCTGTGCGCGTCAGAGTATACACGGTGCAATCGCAGATTTAACCGCGAGCGTCACGATAAGAATTCTTTCGAGAACCGCCTCCTGTGCGATTAATGCTTTTCCTGGCGCGTTTGTGCGACCTTCGAATGCGAATTCGATGCGAGCTGTTTCGATAAGGACATCATGCAAAAGAAATAAAAGAAGCGTTAATCGAATTGCGCTTATTGAGATTTACGGAAGAACTACGTTCTTTTACGTTCTTTTTTCTTCAGAGATCTGTCTGTCGGATCGTGTTTATAGTCGTATTGAGAAATCTAATAATTTTAAGGAGAGATCTTGAAAACAAAAATCGAATAAAATATCGTTTTGATTGCAGTGCACGAAGTTTTACAAATTGAAAGAAAATACCGTTTGTGTATTTATTGTCGTCATAATGTAGTATATTAGTTTTATAATTAAATTTAAATATTTTTATAATTTTTTAATCTTAATATCAATAACACAGATTCCATATAAAAAATTGAAATAATGTGAATCTTAGAGTGTCCTTTAATTTTAAAATTTAATGAGTTTTTATTTTTAGATTATTGTGTACTTTACGCGTAATATCAAGAGTGATATTATGATTGACATAATTCTTGGAGAATTACCCATCTTCCTTGATAGAAGGAACTTGGCTATGCATTATATATGCATTAATACTTGTCTAAGATATGTGCTAATTGACTATGAAAAATTAAGATCGGACACGAGACGGATTAGACTCGGGTTAATTAATAACGTTACTCTGCAAACTGAAGGGTTTAATCGAATTACCGAAATCTCATAATTACGTATTGATTACTTCGTACTTCGAATAATATAACGTTATCTATATTCGGAGCTGGATCGATCGAAATGCGGTCCAACGAACCAGACTTCTTCGAGCGTGATGATAAAACCTTCTACGAGGTCTTCTCCCTTTTTTTTTGTTATCTTCCATAGTGTTTGGTGCACACGGGTTATAGTGGTCATTTCTTTGTGTTCTGGTAATTTAATACTCCATGGTTCGAGTGCAATATTCGAACAGTTTCAACGCGGAAACGACGCTAGATTTAATCCTAAATAGTTTAAGTAAGGGTTTAAGCAAGTCCATATGACCTATGAGAGTATTGGATTCTGTGAAATATCTGACACACTTAATATTTTTTCGTAAAACTAGCTATTTCACACTAATGCTTTTTCTTTTAAAATATATATGTATAGAAAAGTCCCCTATTACGAGATAGGCCCTTAATATGCGATAGCGAGGTTTCTGCTAAACTAATAGGTTCTATCTGTTGGTTTCATCATGAATTATTGCCCTTAGAGTAAAAACCTATTTAGTGGAAAATTAATTATTAGATCGTGCGTGCACTCGCTTACTACAGTTTTTAATTCTGCACATAAACTTTCGGCAATCACGCAAAATAAATGTGGTATCTCATAATAGGGGACTTTCCTCTATATTATTATTTATTTATATAATTCTATTAATTCTGAAAATTGGATAGAAATTAATCCAATATTTTTCTATGAAAAAGTATTTTTATTATTTTGTATTGTCTCTCTTGGGACAGTCGTGGCCAGTGCGACCGTACGAGAGCGTAATTTCACGACATTTGTTTTTAAAGACAGCGAAACATTTAAATAGTGCGTTTACGGTTAATTTCAAACAAAATACATGTGGCGCTGCGCGAATAAGTCATTTACGGTTTCAACAATTTAAACGCGATCACGCGATTAATAGGCAATTCACGTACGTACTAGTGTCGATTTGAAACAGGCCATCACCAAAAGCGATCAAAGATCTTGCAAAATTGATCCGTGCCTTTGATGGATATATATTAGAAAGCTAGAAACGCGCGATGTATTCACCATCCTGCCACAATTCTTATCATTAACGCTTAAATTCACTGAAAGTGACGTAGCCTCCGGCAAGAAAAACTTATATCTACATTCTACAATGAATCACGAGATCTCGCTTCGTACCGTCGATTCCGAGATACACCGTCACGAGATAAGCGCGCTGTAAAACTCCGTCAAAAACGCGTACCTGGTATGGGAGCATTGAGGAAGGCCTGGTTGCTCGCCACGAGGAACGAGACGATGACGAAGAGGCACCACGCGAGAACGATCATCCTGTATCGGAGTGAGATCTCTGAGCAGCACCCGATATGCTCCGTTCAATCGACTTGTTGAACCGCTCGGCTGAGCTGATCCGTGCACCACGTTGACGTTCACGCGTGTACGCGATCGTTGCTTGCGGAGCTAACGTGCGAGCGAAATTCGCGCGACGTTATTTATCGTACACACGCGACAAACGCGGAAGTAAAAAAAAGCGAAAAAAGAAAAGAAAGAAAAAGGGCACGGTTTTTCGTTCGAAAAGCGAACGAACACGCTTTTCCACTCTTTCTCTCATGTACTCTCACGGCGAGGCGCGCCGCGCGGACGACTCGGCTTCGCCGAGACTTCTCTCCGACCGGTTAGCCAGCAGTGAACTGCTCGTGTTCCTACCTCGAGTATCGTAATATACATAAAGTCGCCAGATAAGCCACGGCTGACACCCCACCACCACGGACGCGCCTCGTCGTGGGACGGCCCGTTTCTGCTCGCTCTCTGGTGCGCGCCGCTAAGGAGAGCTTGAAATCCTCGCCTCTCGAGTCTCGACGCGAGGCACAGCGTGGTTTCGTTCGTCTTTCCTGTCCCCTCCCCCCCCTGCTGTGGGACGATAGGTGTCACGACGCTTGTAATTCTTCATTGTGAGCATTTAATATTCTTCACTGTAATTACAATTAGCGTTCCTCGCACCCTCGTTGATTAGTGCGCTCCAATTAACGATATATAGCCTGCGGCATTGCGGCATTTATATAAATAGACAATTTCAACGTAATTTTAAGTATCATATACAATTAATGATGTTGTGTATCCTCGATTTAATCAGTATCTAAAATCATCAATTTGATTGATATATCTTTCGTATATCTAGATTCTTGAAGCGCATAGCGGTTTTTTTCTTTTTTTTTTTGAGATGTAAAATGTGCAAAGGAAGGAGCGGTCTGTTGAAGGTCACGTAACTTCAGATATACCAATGGCGTAGAGATGTTCACTTAACAGGTCTCTCGTTGATAGTTGGCGAGTCGATCGTCAAATGATGAAAAAAGACTATGTCCGACTGTATTATAAAAAGTCGCACAGTTTCTCTCAGTCATGCTGTGAAAATATTGACACTGTCGATCTCAAAGTGTTAAGGTCACCTAATAGTCAATCAGTGAAACGGCTCGAAGTCCTCATTGCACACAATACGATTGCTATTATGCTTACTTCCGCGCTTGTTGATCTTGCCGAACTGCGCGTCGGATTTTTGACGAAACGCGGAGACGCGATTCGATCTTTTAAGGACGTTCACCGGTCTTTATACTAGAAAAAATCAAAATTTTATAGATTTTCTTGAAATTGTGAATATACGTTAATTTAGGTGTGCTTTATGCGTGGTATAAATTTCAGTACCCCTTGCGGTATAAAAATCGAGATATTGAGCCTCAAAGTTTCAATTTTTGCCAAAATTTAGTAAAAGTTGAAACTTTGAGGCTCAGTATCTCGATTTTTATACCGCAAGAGGTACTGAAATTTATAACACATAAAGCACCCAAATTAACGTATATTCACAGTTTCAAAAAAATCTATAGAAAATCGATTTTCTATAGTATAAGGACCGGTGAACGTCTTTTAAGGCGTCGGACGTGCGAACGTCATCTGAAATCCTCTTTCTCCGAGCTTACCGACGTTTCTATAAGCCTTCTCTCCACCGTTCACACATACGCCTGCTCTTCGAATCGCACGACGGCAGATATCGTCATATTTCTTTACAGTATCGCCGTACGATTGAAAAAATTCGTCGGAAATAATTTACGCGGCGTCTTTTCAGCTCACGGCTTTATCTTTACGCAATTCACACATGAAATGGCACGGAGAGACAACAGATATTTATAATTCTATAAAGAGAGAGTTACCGGAATTATAAATATTTAAAATTTTTTCTTTTTCTAGTGGCATTCCGTGCAGAAATAGTGGAAAGATATTCAGAAACTTATGTAGTAATCATAATAACTTCAACGAAAATTTCGTGTATCATGCTGCTCCAGTACAAAAAAATAGTAAACACTACATAATCTCTGTTTGTATGTACAAGAAAAATAATAAGAAAAAGAATTAGAAAATAATTAAAAGGATAATTTTTGCACTGTTTTTTTTTACAAAAAAAATAAAATCTGAGCAAATGTGAAAAATTTGCTTATATATATAAACATATTTTATATACAATTATTACATTTATATATGATTATATATATGATTACATATAGGCAAATAAATGAATAATGCAAAAACAATAAAAAAACAATGCAAAAATTCTCATTATTTTCTAATTCTATTTCTTATTATTTTTCTTATACATACGAACAGAGATTATACAAGAGAAAAAAAGTATATATATGGACATATTTTATATAATATTTTCTACAATATCCCAGGTAACACATACACGTTTCAGAAATGTTTTAAAAGCGTTTTTTCGAAACGTTTTATAACCGATTTCTAGAAATGTTTCTCATGAGTAAAAATATCCATTCGAAAAACGTTTGATGAAACGTTTCTTTTCCAATAAAATAACGTTTAAAAACTATTATAGAAACCGTTTGTTTTAATGATAAAGAGATTTTAGATAGAGATTTAAAATCCCTACTTTTCACGTCTTTTGAACGTGTTTATGACGTCTTTGAGTCATGCGTGAGAATGTTTTAGAAGCTTATTGCATATACCATCTATGGCGTCTATTCTTTTTCGAAGAAATTCCTGAACTGGTGCACATTCGTGCAATAAGTTAAAGTGAAACAAAATATACTTGTCTCACTCTAACTTAATTGCATTCCTGATGTGCACCAGTTCAGGAAGGATTCTTCAAAACAGAACACACGTATTTGTTCTTTCAATGGCCACGTTCAGCAGAACGTTTATTTTGCAACTGTTGGAAGTTTTCTAAGCTCAGGTTTGTCCGATGACAAATAGATTAAGACCGCGGTAGAACAAAATTAATTTAAGTAAATAAGTGAATATATGTGCATAGATAAAATGATTTATTTTGTGCAATAATTAGTGCAATATAAATTTAAATGTTTCAAAAAAGGCTATTAAAGCTATTATATACATATATAGATAAAAGCAAATTATAATTTTGAAAGAAAAAATGTAAATAGGTATTTTTGTTAACTGTAGAAACGTAAAAAATATGTTTTTTAAATTATGGTTTCAAAAACATTTTTGTTCAAACGTTTCTTAATAGTTCTTTACGGTTATGAAACTATGTATACGTTCAAAAAACGTACATGAAACTAATATGTGCTACCTGGGATTATATGATTATATTGATTATATATATTTATATATGTTTATATGAAAAATTGTTCATCGGCATGCCTTCTAAAAACAGATGCGCATTTTCTGCTCCGGTGGAAATAAACAACAAAATCTTGCGTAAATTATACATACAGTTTTTTTCGATAAGATTTGGCATATGTTTTACCGATACGACGCAATGCGTTCGAGAGGTAATGATTAATGAGAATCATATGATGTATTTCTGCCGATAAGAAAATCATTCAGTCATGATGATGAAAAGGCTTTATTTTTCATGAAACGATAAATGCTGTAGAAAAGAGTGAGAAAACTCAATGAAAATCCCGTTGCGTCATTTTCCTCGGAAGTATTATAGTCGTCGCAATTAATATGACGTTATGCGTATATTACCTTACGTTGCTGCGTTATCCGCGCAGATGCAGCGCTGAAATAAAAACAATGTAAAATTGTTTTCCGATCGAATATTTTTATTACTTTTAAAACCTCTTCTGCCAATAGTCGTGCTAATCCGACCGCGAACGATCGTGACGATCGACTAAAAATATCATTGTAATATTGATACCTGCATCGTTCTTCCGTGTCATCGTCCATCCACGCGATAAGGCTCCGCAAACAATTATTTTCTGCCGCCATCACAATGGCTTTAAAATTGAAATAATAGACCTTGATACGCGATATCTTTAATATGTGATCTTATCTAGCATTATTCTCAGAATTCATCGTTGAGGTCATCATCCTGATCCGAGACAACATCCGACACACAACAGAACCGAGACGTGAAATGCATGTTACGAGAGATATACAAAAGAGAGATACACATAAATCAATTCTACATGATATTATACTATATTTTTATATCTTTCTTTTTTTTTTTCTTTTAGGGTGTTGTAATTTTATTTTTACATCTTATTTTATTTTACTTATTCGCTTTTTTTTAAAAACCGATTATAATTCCGATGCTTTAATATTTTTAACGACACGTCGCGGTCGTTCGGAAAACCTCACATTTTCTACCAAATAGACCTTGACGATAAATGAACATCTTTATCGTTGCGGCTCTTATGTCATTGTTATGTTACTTGTTGTGATGTCATCGCTGATCTAATGCCACGGCCAAGACCTGTTGAGAACGAGCTGCAAGAAGAATTGATAGAACATTCGCGTTTTGGAATCGGAAGAATAGGAGATTCTAAATCTAGACCCCATTTCCACCAGATATTACAGAACATCGAGCAAACGAACGAAAAAGAACACAGACATTACACGCTTTTTAACTAATGATAGAAGTAGACGCGTCTTTATTTATCGTCAAAGACAAACACGAGAAACAAAAGTAAAAAAAATAGGCTACAAAAGCAGGGCTACAAAAACAAGTGCATTTTATCTCATAAATCTTCGTCCCACCGATACTTGTAGGTCTAATATTTTATTATTATATGTATTTATGGAACTCTTAACAACAGAGCCGTTGAAAGTCACAGAATAGAACTGCAGGTCATTTTTGACCCATGAAAAGAAAATATTCCCAAAATCCTAAATATATGTATTGCCTTCTCATGGATAAAAAATAACCTGCTGTTCTATTCTGTGACTTTCAATGATTCTGTTGTTCAGGCCCTAGGGTTGTCAAAAGTGTCCGGTTTTGAACCAGACTGTCAGGTTTTCAGGAGTCTTGTCCGGTGTCCGGTTAAAAAATCAAACCGGGCATCTTAAGTCGGTTTTTAAGTATACCCTATTATACTGAATACATTTGAGTATATTAAAATTTGTCAAGGAATGGAAGAAATTTATTCGAACAAAATGCTACCAATTTTTTATCTTCATGCATTTCTTATTTTGAGAAATGGTATAATTTCAAATATAGCCCGTTCCATTTTTCAAATCTTTGTCTGTCAAAACTTGATTTATTACAAGATATTATAAAGACAACAGAAGTTCTCAAATTACAATTTGATGGAGATCAGTTATATGAAGAGTATAGAATATTAAAAATGATGTTGCTCATCATATTTACAAATAACTTACTAAAAATAGTTTAGGCTGTACTTTCAATACCAACAAGTAATGCTTTCCCGGAAGGAGTGTTCAGCTTATGCCCGTTTTCATCAAC